GAGTAAAATTGAAGAAATTGATTCTATTATAAGACCTACTGATAGTGAGGTAAAATTTTTTCATATTAATATCAATGTAACTGTATTATCATTTATTTAAATTTTTTGTTTCTAAATTTTATTTATAAGGAATTTTCAATTCTTCGTCCTCGCGGAGCCATTCTATACGCACCACCATCTTTATCAATAAATGAAAATGAAACATCTGAAGAAATGAACTTATTTAAAAAAGCACTTCAAGAAGATAACATTCAGATTTGGTCTACTAGATGTGGTAATCTTTCAAATTCTTTAGAAATGTTATCATCAAATGAAGACATTACTAAAATATTGGAAGAAAATATGATTTCGAAAGAGATAAAATTAAAAGATATTAGTGATGGATTTGACCTTGCGGCTAATGAAAGTGTTATTAAAGTTATTGTAGATGTTGAGAATTGATTCGTAATTTTAATAAGTTCTTTGATGTTTGAATTTTTTATTATAAAATTTTTGGAATGTGTATGACATACCGTATTTATTAAATATTCACTTATTTCGAAAGACAAAAAACGTTATCATTATTATTAAAAACAAAAATAAAAACCAATTGATAATTGATAAGTATATTTATAAAAAACCCTTTTTAAGCATTAATAAAAAAAAAATTTTTTTTTATATTACATTTCTTTAGTTACAAAAATAAATCTATATATATTAATATGTACGATTTAATCTAAATATTTTTATAAAGATATATATAATAATAAAAAAAGTGACACACCCCTTTTATTTTTATCAAAAAAAAAAAAAATTTCATTTTTAAAAGACATGTATAAACATAGTAGGTGATCTTTATTTCCCTTGGATTTCATGAAAATCGTGAATAAATGTGGTTGACTGATTAACCTGGTAACGAATATCTTTACCAAAGCAATGAAAGATCAATGTTTAAAGAATTAATTAGACCAGCCTCAGTCCTGAAAAGATCGCAAAATAAGGTAAATAAATAAATAAATAAGTAGTCAACCTTTTTTTTATTATTATTATTATAAACTTACACTTATAAATACGCGTTTATTAAAAGCAACCCTATTACATGTTGAATGATTAAATACGAAGGAACCAATGAAATTCCCGAACTAACAGGAGCTAATTCTAAGCTCGGTATGTATGTATGGTTTGGTTTGCCATACGTTGTATAACTAAAAAAAAAAAAAATAAAAATAAATTAATTAAGTATTAATTAATTAATTAAATTAAATTAAATAAGATTTTATAATTAATTAATTAATTTTTTAATTATAATAATAATAAATTATTACCCGACAGTTTCAAAGAACTTTCTTAGTTTCGGACCAATAGCATTAGTAAGATACGAGTTTGGAGTTTTTCCTGCAAGTCTAATATCAGCACTTAGAGTCTCACCCGGAGGTAATTGATATCTCATTAAAAAATCACTAGTATTAGTATACATATTATAATCTACATGATTTATACTATTATACGGATCAAATGGATTTGATGTTGTATCTACCACAAATAAATCACTTATATTGAAAGGTTTACCATGATGAGAAGTTAAATTCCAATTAACTAAACCAAGAGTTTGTGATTGAATTGATATATTTAACATTGTTACAGCTATATTATATTGTGGTGATGATATAAATTTTTGATGAAAATCATCATAATTTCCATAAATATCCCCATTATTATTAAAAAATTCATTTAATAAAGTTGTTTGATTCGAAACGTAATCTCCTGTATTAGTAAATACCAAATATTTATCAAATATATATTCTCTAAATCCCCTCCAAGAAATTTTTACACTAGGATCATAATTATCTTCCCATATATATTCGTAATCTTCCTCTGTTATCAACATAGGAGTAATATATTGTGATGATTCATCATTTGACCATATACTCCATGAAGTTAAGAAACCTAATCCATGACATAATTCATGAAGAATTATACCTAAAAAATCATATTGATTATATTTAATCGGTGAGGGATCATCTTTGAACCAATAATCAAGAGCAAGATTAAATTCTCCATAAATATCCGGATGTTTATATTCAGGATTATTCGAAAAGTTGAATTGTTTGACCAATGATTGAGGATAAAGCCTTTCTACACCATCATTATCTTTTAACAGATATAATAAAGTTGGTTGAGCATATCCTTTTATATATAAAAAAAAAAAGGTTAAAAATTTAAAATTAAATTTATAAACTTAATTAAAAAAAGTTAAGATTGAAGCATACCTGGATTATAAAAATTTTCACCACTACAAGTTGGGTCATCGCCACAAAAATCATAAACACTAATATTGACAAAAATTGAAGATTTCAAGAGCAAAGTTGAAGATAAAATACTTCCAGCATCTAAAAATGCTTGAACAATTTTCCCACAAATTGATTGATCATTTGATTGACATGATATACTAAATATAAAATTATTTGCATTATTCAGATAACTTTGAATATCTGAAGTTGTAGAATTATCATCATTATTACTATTATTTGTCTGATTTGCTTCTGAATGATTATTTATATTTGTTGGTAGTGATATTTTTTTTGATTGTTTTGGAACCGGCATTGCCGGTTGTCTTCCTCTCTTTACTAGATCTTTATTAACAAGTATTGGATCATTGCAATTTGTTTTA